AAAAACAACAAGTCTCTAATTTTTATGGTAACATGGTCATTTTATTCTTACAGAGAGAGATGGAATATTTCCCACCCCCCGAAAGACAAAAGAAGTCCATGATTTGCATTACATTAAATGAATAAGTATTTAAGCCCTAAGTAAAACATGACTTAGTGCTTGGTGAAGGAATGAAGTCAGGGGTTTAATATAAGTTAATTGACGCTGTAATAGAGAATGTTTTACTGTCTTTGCAGGTCCTCGCTTCTGAATGGCTGAGAGATGAAACGTCATTAAAAAACAAACAGTTATTGAGACTGTCAGCACTCACTTAATAACGCTCTGGTTCTGAACTTTCTACAGCTACTGGAACAAATCAATTCATTCTATATTTGTTGCGTTTTTCTTTAAAATGATGTAACACGCTTTCGAACTTCCTCCTGGGAAACGACGTTTTATATCTAAAACACCGTCACCTAACGTAATGTGGTAGAATCCATATGTACTTCATTTCCCATAATTCATACAGTGGCACTTCCTAGATACGTGACACGTAGAAACAGCATTGTGGTCAGACTATCATAGTAGAAGTGTGCTTTTAAACGACGGCTTTCCGACTTGTTTTATGAGTGCATACATGTTATTCTACCCCTACTCGCACACAGGCATGTTTAGTGGGAGTATAATGAAGCCACAGTGGCGCGCGTTGCTTGTTTAGCCTCATAGCTAAGCTAAGCTACCTAGCCAACATTAGGACTAGCGAACACGGACGCGTTTTTGTTTATGTTTACTTTTTTCAAGATGTACACTTTATTATCTGGATTATATAAGTACATGTTCCAGAAGGATGAATACTGCGTTTTGATCCTGGGACTGGATAACGCCGGAAAAACGGTATCAAAGTGATGTTGTGTTATATAATTGGTTAACTGGGTTATGCACATAGCATTGGCTATGTGCATACCGTGGCTCAAGGGGTTGGGAATCGCATCTGTAACCGGAAGGTCGCCGGTTCGATCCCTGGGCTCTCTGTCCTGGTCGTTGTGTCCTTGGGCAAGACACTTTACCCTACTTGCCTACTGGTGTTGGCCAGAGGGGCCGATGGCAGCCTGGCTTCTGTCAGTCTGCCCCAGGGCTGCTGTGGCTACAACCGTAGCTGCCTCCACCAGTGTGTGAAATTGAGAGTGAATGAATAGCGGCATTGTAAAGCGCTTTGGGTGCCTTGAAAAGCGCTATATAAATCCAATCCATTATTATTATTATTATTGAAAGCGGTGTTATGTTCTCTTGTTTACGTTAGCTTTGTGGTCTATCGCTCTCTTTGTCTCAAGAAATCATGAACAGTAAATAGGACAAAACCCAAGTTACAGAACGGATTAACTTACCTGGATGATTGAGTGAGTGGGTGAAAAAATTAAAGTAAATGACGGTTATCAATCTGGCCATTAATGGAGCATAAACAATAAGAAATCACTTATGAATGTGCCACTCTAAATGAACTGTCCCACTTGATCCTGTCAAAGACAAGGACACTAGCAAAAGTGAAAAAATCAGGCAGGAGAAAGAGAGAGCGTGATGGTCTGTGGCCACCACCTGCAAATGAGCTGCCTGAAGTTTAGCTAATTTTGTTTTACACAGTGCTCATCACCTGAGTAATTCACCAGTCTAATGGTTACTCTTATTTTCTGTGTCTGTAGACTTTCCTGGAACAGACCAAAACAAAGTTTAGTAAGAATTACAAGGGGATGACTTTATCCAAGATCACCACTACAGTTGGCCTGAACAGTAAGTGAATGTAACAGTGTTGGGCTTGCTTCTGCATGACCTCCTTCACAGTTTTCTCCTGCCTTGTCAAAGTAGCAGGAATCGCTTGCTTTTTGAGTGTGTATTACTGCTTAACAATGAAAAATGATTATTAGTTCTTTTTTGATGAGTAACTGCAGGAATTATTTGTAATTTCATATTTTAACCGTTATGGTATAGAAAAGGACAAATCAATGCAATTATGTAATCTTTCATGTTCTAATGCTACCTTTCTTTCTAGCTCACAGAACGTTTTTGATTTAAACTGCTGATCTATAACATTTTTGGGAATCTCTTGCTTTCCTTTACAGTTGGCACAATTGATGTTGGCAAGGCTCGTCTAATGTTCTGGGATTTGGGAGGTCAGGAGGAGCTGCAGTCTCTGTGGGATAAAGTGAGTTAAAAAAAAGGAATTTTTCACATCCTCTACACTAACATAGATAGTATTTCTATTTTGAAGATGTAATATTTTCACTGTGTTTAGCATACATAGACTGCACCTGGACAGGCCACACAGATATATTTGGCAACACCTTTTACCACCTGCAGAGGGCAGAAGTTTTTGTCAACGTTTTCCAAGTTGTTCAAGGGATTTTCAACATAGCCTTTTTACACATGCTAATACTTTCGAAAGCATATTGTTTTTCTGTTTACACACAATAACAGAATAACAGATTTCTTAGAAAAATATTACCAGGTTTGATATTATTAGCACCCTAAAATCTGACTTTTTGGTTGAGCCAAAACACGAATCACTAGTGTCCAATGTTGTGTTTTAACTTTGTTATCTTTAAAGTTTGTAAAATCCAGCTAAAACAGAGGGTTATGTTCTAATTTATTCTGAGTATTAAAATATCAGGCAAGGGTTGGAGCTGTCACTTGAGAAAGCATCATGCCAGAAACAAAAGAAATCAGTTTAGACTTGAGAAGAAAAGTTGTTGTGCTCACAAAGCAGGAGATGGGTATACACAATGACCATAGCATATCCACGTTTCAAGAACTGGAGCCAGAAGTATCACAGAAAAATTCAAAGAGAGCTTAACAGTACAGAACAAGCCTTGCAGAAGTAGGAAGCAAAAGATTTCAAACTCTGGAAAGAAAATGAATGAGAGATGTGCCAAAGACCCTTGAACAACTGTTAAGACACTAAATGACTTAGCAAAGTCACGAATTGCAGTCTCAAATAAGACAATCACTGAGACCCTGCGCAGGAATGGAGTGTGAAGTGTGAAGTGGAAGCAGACAAAAACAACAAGCACGCATGCTACAAACTTTACCCGAGTCATTTAGGCTACGTTCACACTGCAGGTCTTGATGCTCAATTCCGATTTTTTGATCAAATCCGATTTTTTTGTCTGCTCGTTCACACTACAAATAAAATGCGACAGCAAACGCGCTCTAGTGTGAACGCTCAAAGCGGCCCGCATGCGCAAAAGAAGACGTCACACACAACGCGCTCTGCTTAGACCCAGACCAACAGCATTGTTTAACTGATGGCCATAATATAAAGACTTCGGACTTTACGTTTCCCATTTTTTGCTTTAAGTTATTTTGTTATTTACATAATAATGTAAATAACAAAATAATGATCCTTATTGCTGTTTTAGAGGAGCGGTGCTTCAAAGGATAGCTGCAGATTTCTGTCAGAATCTGCAGATTATACAGTACAAATAAAATGTTCACGTTGTCTTCCCAACAGTTTCACTGACATCTACACTGGATGGCCAGGAAGCGCTGATAATTGGAGTCTGTCTTGTGTCAGTGACGTAAAAGACGGATTTAATGCGACATGACCATCAAACAGCAGTCGCTTTCTGAAACATCGGATATGTATCGGATTCAGCACCACATACGAAAGTGACCCAGATCGGATTTGAAAATATCGGATTTGTGCCGTTCACACTGTCACACCATGATCGGATATGGGTCGCATAGGGTCAAAAAAATCGGATTTGATGCACTTTCGCCTGCAGTGTGAACGTAGCCTACGACAGCCGTTAGCACATGATTCTCCTTATGGGGACCTGATATGTTTAATATGCTGCTGAGAATATAGCCCAGAAGAAGCGTATAGTATAGCTTTTATTTTGGAAAGAGCCATTTCTCTGTAATGAACTCTTTTCCAAAGATGAGTGATTTCTCGATCAGATAGATTTATTTTTTTTATTATTTTGTTGTTTCAGCAACATTGAATTTAAAAACTGTACTTTTGAGTTAAAATATATATTTATAATTTTAATAACTGACAAATTTTTTTTGTATCGAAAGAATATCGAACCGTCTCACCAAAGTATCGAACCGAACCGAACCGTGAATTTATATAAGATAAGATAACTCTTTATTGTCATTGCACAGTCATACATAGTACAGTAGTACAATGAAATTGGAAAAACTGTCCTACGTCGGCACTACATATAACACAACACGATACGATATGACACATCACAACGCAACAAACAACACAGTATATTAACTTAGTATAAAAAAGAAGAATACGTGTATGTGTATTGCACACTGTTATTATTGCACATTAATTATTATTGCACCTTGTTATAAATATAAATATTATTGTTATTGTTTCAAACATTGTTACCTCCCCCTTAAAAAAGTCCAGGGAGGTATCCAGTCAGGTCAGCTATTTACATTGATTAGGGCTATTGCCCTGTTGTAACCGCACACCGATGCAATATGTCAGCACACTTTCAATGGAGCAGCAGTAGAAGACGGTCAGCAGCTCCTTGTTCAGGTCCATTTTTCTGAGGATTCTCAGAAAGTGGAGACGCTGTTGGGCCTTCTTTAAGACCGCAGAAATATATATATATTAGGGGTGCAACGATACACAAAATTCAC